GTTCCTGGTTTCTGTTGTTCCAGAAGCAGGAAGAAGGGGTGCAGCTTCATGCTGTACCCCACCCGTCCTCTGAGCCGTTCAGGCTCAATTTCTGTGGGAAGGAACTGCTGGCTCTGGTGGGAGGGGGCGAGGTGATGGCCTGGGAGACTTGTGGCAGCCTGAGCCTCGCCCCGGACTTCTGGGCACCCTATCCCTTCAGACACTGGGCTTCCACGGCAGATCTGGCTTCCTGAAACATCCCCCGTGCAGTCCCGCTGGCCCAGTCTTCAGCAGCTCCCTCCTCTCTGGCAAGCTTTCTCCTTGGGTTTCTTGTCTTCCAAAACGCCATTGAAGTATCTTATTTCCTCCTGTCTCTCCTCTTCCTTCTGTTTGTGCACAAATATTTGCTTAATTTCTTCAGATTGAAGAGGGAAGGTAAAGACGGGTGCTCAGCTGTCTGTGTTCAACTGGGAATCACTGTGACGTTTTCCAGAAAGTTTACAAGGTGTTTGCAGAAACGGGCCTCTCTGTGCAAGGAGAGCGATTCCCGCGAGTGTGTGGGCCACTGCTTAGGGCCACCTTCCCGGTCAGGCGTTTGTCAGGGCTTGGAATCAGCCTGCCTGTGCTGAGGGCGGGGGGGCGGGAATTCTGGGTCCCCGTGTGCATGTCGCGGTCTCCCATTTAGTTCTGCCTCATTGGCGCCTCACGTCGCGCTTGATGAGGAGTCTTCCCCTCATCACCTTGAGGGCGATGTAATGGGCTCTGCAGCGGAAATATTGTTCGAGCCGCCAAACCGCATCCCAGCAGGCGCTTTGTCTTGGGACCATGTGTCTTGCAAAGCAGCCATTTAACACGCCGGTGGCACGAAGCCGCAGAGTCGCAGCTAATTCACTTTACGGGGCTTTTATTTGTATGTATGGGACAGTCGCACCAGCAAACAGAATCATGGCTCCACCCCGCCATGATTGAGCCCCGCATTCAATGTCTTTGTCAACCCGTGTTTGTAAACAGCCTTACCTCCTGGGATTCTCCTGGGGTCAGAAAAGGGCGGCGTTGGGGTGATGGAGACGCACGCGGTGTTCTCTGAAGCCATCAGGGAGTGTACATCCTGCAAGAGCGGGACAGGGGCCCAGGTGCCTGTGGGTAATGGTGATGGAGCCTAATTACTGTCACCCGTGCAAGCTGGTTCCGACTAGACCCAGGCTCACACTGGGCTTGTCTCCCCACGGGCTGGGCACAGCGGGTGGCAGGGCCCAATGCAAGTTGTCCTCCTCCTTAGGCACCGGGGGGCACGCGGCAGAGGCGCTCAGCCCCCAAGGCCCTCACCGAGGTCCTAGGTCGCAGGTGTGCAGGGCACTCACAGGAGAGCCTTTAATCCGGACGCCCGGCTGCAGCCCAGACCCCTGGACTCAGACTCTTTGGGGTGGGACCCGGCCCGGGCAGTTCTTCAAGTTCCTAAAGGGAGAAGGGGCAGCGTGCAAACTGCTGCTAGGTCTTTTTTTTTTTTTTTTTTTTAATCCTACTGTTGCTACATAAGCAAAGAAACTTATTATTTCAAACTAATTTGGGTTTGGGGAAAGTGAACATAATTTATGTTGTAGTCATTTCGGTTCACTGGTTTATTTATGGTGCGTTGTGGCGGATTTTTCTCGCATGAAGGAGTAGAGTTTGGTCCTCTGACTGCAGAATCCAGGCATCTGGGGATGTCCTTCTCGTGGGTTTTGCGCCTTTGGCAAACATGGGAGCAAAAATAGTGAGAGGGCGTGTGGGCAAGGCCGGGCCCTGGCCCCTGGCGTCACCAGCCCTGGTCTCTCCGCCTGCAGGTCCCGTGGCTGTCATCAGCGGGGAGGAGGACTCGGCCAGCCCGCTGCACCACATCAACCACGGCATCACCACGCCCTCGTCGCTGGACGCCGGGCCCGACACGGTGGTCATTGGCATGACCCGCATCCCGGTCATCGAGAACCCCCAGTACTTCCGTCAGGGGCACAACTGCCACAACCCCGACACATGTGAGTACTGGGGTACAATGCTGTCCCTTCTGGGGGGGGGCGATAGGCCATGAGGCAGGAGTTCTGGAACCTTCTGGGGTGACCTGCTACCTCCTCACCTCCCCTCTCTAAGAGACCCTCCCTGTTTGTCTCAAAACCTGAAGAGTAGCCTGGGGCGGAGGACGCCAGGGGCAGAGTCCCGGGAGCAGTTGGAGGCAGGACCCAGCCTCACAGGAAAGTGCTCCCAGTGAGGCAGGGGGTGCAGATGGGCCGGGCTTCTCCGTAGACCTGGCCTGTGCCCCGACTCTGCCCTGCCTTCAGCCCCTGAGGTGGGCAGACCTGCCACCCCAGCCTCCATGGGAAGGAGTGAAGGGCGCCGAGCACCATTTGAATGGGGACATCTTGGCAGCTGCCCCTCCAGTGCCTGCAGGGCCCACTCCCTGAGGGTCCCATGGCCCATGCGCTAGGACCCCCACGTCCCTACGCCCCTGCAGGGTCTCACTCAGGTCAGGGCTCAGGCCCCTGCTCCATCCTGGCCTCTCCCCCTCTGTTGGTCCCAGCTCCTTACTCTGTATTTCTGCTGGGGCCTCTCCAGCTCTTGGGGTCTCTGGCTTGGCCGTTCAGCCAGCAGCTGTTCCCCTGGCCGGGTCCCCAGGTTCCGTCCACCCAGCCACTGCAGTGCACCCTCCTCTCCCACGCTCCTGCGCCCCCCCCCCCAAGTCAGCCACTTCCCAAGGGAGCACAGAGGCCCTGGAGACTGCCTCAGAGCTGGAAGGGACAGAGATGGACTAGGGGAAGGCCTCCTGGTAGGACAGGAAAACCAAGGTTCTGCCGGGCTATGGGCTCCCCTGCTCTGCCCCCAGGCTTCTGCCGTTGGCTGTCAATCTCACCTGGTGCTAGGGCCGGCCTGGGAGGGGGTGCCTGGTCTCGCTCCTCCGGCCAAACTCTCTGTTGGGCCCCACTCTTGTAGCTCCCAGAGCTGTCGCTGCTCCTCGTCCATCTTACAGCAGCGGGCACTTGGCTTCCCCGTCGGGCTCTGCTTCTGCTCTTCTGACTTCAGTGCAAGCATCGCAGGTGGGAGGACTGGGCTTGAGTCAGGACGGGGCTATCATTCCCCCGCGCCCCCCGTGGGTGTCCTCCAGCATCGGGGTTTGTCGGAGCCCCTGTCGGCGTGGTTGGAGGAAGGACCTGGGTTCCGGGCAGGGGAAGGACCCGTGATTCAGATGCAGAGTGGGGCGCGCAGTGCACAGGGCACTGCTGCTCTCTTGCCTCAGATCAGGTTCGCCCTGGCCGGCCCCGGGTGTGGCCCGAGGAAGGCCTTCTGCGGTTGTACCACGGGACACCCCGTCTCGGTTGACGTCGTTGCGTTTTCTAGAATGGCATTGCAGGCGTTGCTGTGTTGAGGCTGCACTTGATTCTCATTATTCGCAGTAGTTATGTTCTATAAAGGCCTGTGAACACTGCATTAGGCCCGCGGAGCCATTGCTCCTCGAGGAAATGCGGGGTCAGGTTCCTGCCAGCCCCTGGCCACAGCAGAGTCCTTGGCTGGTCAGGACCCAGCCTGCTTCGTGCATGCTTCTGCTCGAAGACTTCTTATTAAACAGGTACTGTTGCGTCACTAACATTGCCCTCAGGGTCAACAGCACTGACGCGCGCCTGAACGGAGCTTCCCTAACGCAGGAGTCCTCCCTAACACCCCTATTCGCTCCGTAAGGCACCCCGGCTTCTTGCTCTTAGGGACATAGCCAGCACTTCGACTCTGTGTGTGTGGGACACACACAAGGTTTATTTGGTCTCAGCTGGGTTTGTGTGTGTGGGATGAGTCAACATTTAGCCCCCCTCCCCCTTGCATGTTTGTGAATGACCATGACAGTGCTGCCAATGTTGACTCGGGGTTACACATGCATTTTAGGGAGCATGACACATTTAGCCCCCCTCCCCCTTGCATGTTTGTGAATGATCATGACCATGACAGTGCTGCCAATGTTGGCTTGGGGTTACACATGCATTTTAGGGAGCATGATGCAGACCCAGGGATGCTGAGGATGGACTGTGTCCTTCCGTGGACGCTCTGGGCTCTCCTCTGGGTCAAGTCTGTGCTCGTGTGAGCGCCCGATACCCGGCTGTCGGCACAGTGGCCCAACGGGGTGCATCTGGCTCGTGGGAGAGAAGTCTCAGTGACAGTGGAGACCCCGGGGGGAGCGTGGGATCTGCGTGTCCTGTGATGTCAGGCCCCTGCACCCAGGCAAGGGTTTTCGAGGAGGCACCGTGGGAGGAAGGCCTTCAGGTGTGGGAAGCCAGTGGCCCTCCAGGACCCGACAGGTCAGGTGTGAAGGACGGGCCGTGGCGACCGGGGCAGCAGGTGGCTGGCAGACCTGAGGGACAGGGAACAAGCAGTACCTCCTGGAAACACGGGAGGCGGCTCCCGGTTGTCAGACCCCTGCCGTCAGGGAAAGGGCTCTTCTCAGCGAGGCGGCACATTTGTCCTGTCAGCAGACAGCGGGCGGCCCTTACTGGTTTTCAGAAAATGTGTGGCAACCACAGACCCTGTGCGGACACCATGCCAGCGGTGTGGCTGTTCCTCCCTCCGCGTGGCCAGGGCTGCCTCGGGTTGGCTGGGGGCACTGCCCTCCCTCTCCGAGACGCGCAGGCCTCTGATGTCAGAGGCTCCATCCGTCCAGGGAAGTGACTGTAAGACACTGCGCTGTCTGCGATGAGACGCTGTCATAAATGCTGAAGGCCGCACGCGACTTGGCGATGAGTCCGCAGAGGGCATCTCCGACGCGCAGTTAGGCCAGGGCCACTCGTCCTGGGGACGCAGGAAACGGGACTAAGGGTGGGGAGGTGTCTGTATTGCAGGTCCCTCTGGGGTCCCCGGGCTCTCTCGTCGGATCCCTCCCTCATCCATTTATGATGGGTGGTTACAGGGGAACGGGCTTGGGGTTTGGCTGACATGGGTAAAGGGGGACAGTTGGTAACTCAGCTTACTGTGGTGACCCCTTTGTAGGGTAAACAAATACCGAATTGTTACATGTATACCTGATACTAAGATAATGCCACAATATCAATTTTATCTCACTAAAAAACAGCAAAAAACAGTGTAATGTGGGAAGAAATCACAAGGACATAGAGCTGCCTGACTTGAGGCCTCACTTCCGCACGCCCCCGGGGAAGGATTTAGCACCAGAGCGCTTTCCATTCCCTGCACGTGTGTGTATCACGGTGGTGGGACCTCCCTGGTTGGGATGCTGCTCCTCTGCTGGCGCCTCACTGCCTATCTGTCCTCAGTCGGGGCCGCAGCATTTTTCATAGTACGTCAGGGCTGCCAGTGTATTGAGAGATCGCCTCGTACACTCCTTTATCAGATGCCTGGTCCCCTTGCCCACGTCCCAGCAAGGGCTCTGCGTTCGACACTGTCTCTTCTCCGTGTAACCAGCCTTCCCAGGCGCTCTGAGAGAGCCGAGCGAAGGTGCTCCTATCGGGGCACGTACCCAGAATCCAAGGCCAGCGAGCCCCCTCACTGTTTATTTAAAGCCCCTGGTTCTCAGAAGCATCTGGAAATGGATACATCTCTCCTTGTCACACAGCCAGTTTGGGGACAGATCCTACGGAATGAGACACCCAGGGCGGTCTAGATGGGTCACTGGGGAGAATTATGAGGTGTGTGTAGCAACGTTGGGCCCTTGGCTACCTTTGTCCGCCTTGTGGCCGCCCTGGGGCTGCCATAGCTGTGTGGTGCGGGGCTGGAATGTAGGCTGCTGTCAGCAGTCATGCTGCAGCCCTTCCCCAGGCCCCTGGGAAGGCTCCTTGGTCTTGAGGTTCTCTGTTCATCTCCTTTTCCAAAATCCCCGATCTCAGAAGACAGCTTTGCCTCTGCGTGAGAGAGCAGAGGCCCTCTGGGAGCTAACCCGTCTTCTCCTTCTCTCCCTCCCTGTCCCCAAGTCCGGACTCCCGCCTGCACTCACAGGTTGTCTGCCTCCGCCTTCCCAGGCTCAGCCATCTCAGCCTCTGCCTCCCCTTCCTCAAGTGCCTGCCCACAGGGACCTCTCCAGGTCCTGCCCAGCCCTCCCTCCCCTCCCCCTCCAGGTACGTCTGCCTCCTGCTCACCACTAACCTCTCCAAGTTCCCCGTCCTGCAGCCCCTTTCTCGTTCCATCCCCCCAGGAACCCACAAGTGCTCCATCCCTTTGAGTCTCTTCTCTCTGAGTCACCCCAACTGTGCTGGCCTCTCTCCCTTTCATCTAGTCAATAAATACGAAGGGCTAGTGTCCAGCCTTCTTTAGGCTCCGAGAACAATAGGGAACAGGAAATGCTTGGTCCCTGCCGTGAGGGGCTCACTGCCCACCGCAGCTGATGTCCGAGATACAAGGGGAGACCCTCTGCTCCCTGGTGCGCTCAGGGAGTTGGACGTCTGCTGATGAGTCACCGTTGCTTCTTTCCAGATCTCCAAGCCCCCCTCCAGCCCCTCTTCCCGCCCTGCAGAGCCCACACCCTTTCCTTCCTTTCTACGCCCTCTGCTCCATCCCACACCTGGCTCACAGCCAGCCTCTTCCTGGGCCCATGCCCAGGCGGCGGCGACTCCCTCCCGGGAACCCGCGCCGCAGGGTAAATGCATGCTCTCCTCTTGAATGACTTTGAGTCACATCTCAGATGTGTGTGTGTGTCTTGTCTCCCAAACCTGACTTTACGCTCATTCCAACGAGTGAGTGGCTCTTGGGTGTCCCTTACTCCTCTGGCTCTATTGCAGCTGCTTGAGGGCCTGGCTTCACCCTCTTTCCCCAGGGCAGGTGCGTGATGCGTCCCCTAACACACCCACCTGCAAGGCCAGGACTCACGCAGAGATCCCCAGCAGAACTGCTCGGTCCGTGGGCTGTGTCCCTCCCTGAAGGGAGCGAGTGGCTGTCCCCTCCTCCCTGGCCTGGTTGGCCACGGAGCTGCCTTTTCTGGAAGAGCTGCTGCCACGGCCAGTCCCCAGCTGTGGTGGGAACGCAGCCTTTTGTGCGTAATGCAGCATTAATAGCA